GTCTCTGATGCATAAGCTTTCAGTGTACATACAAGCAACAAAGTGATAAATCATAAATCATAAGAACAGAGGTGGCGCAGTGATTAGAGTGCAGTACTCTGGGCTACTTCAGCTGACTGCTAGCTGCAGTTCAGCAGTTCAAATATCACTGGCTCAAGGTTGACTCAGCCTTCCATTCTTCTGAGGTGGATAAAATGAGGACCCAGATTGTTGGGGGCAATATGCTGACTCTGTAAACCACTTAGAGAGCACTGTGAAGTGGTATATAAGTCTAAGTGATATTGCTATAAGATACAATCATAAATCATAACATACAACCAACAAAGTGATAGTCATAAGATACCAATAGGAGTAGGTAATAGGAAAGACGAGAACGATAATAGTAATACAGTCCTATGATATCCATAGGCATGAGACAATGCTGTGAGAATTACGTGTTTAGCAGAGTGACAGTGTAGGAAGAAAAACTGCCCCTGTGTCTTGTTGTTTTGACATCCAATGCCTTATAGTGGCATCCTGAGGGGAAAAGTTGAAACAGTTTATGTCCAGGATGTGAGGGATCTGTAGATATTTTCTCTTTCTGTCTCATGTGGTATACAGGTCATCAATGGAAGAGAGGCTGGTTGCAATTGTTTTTTCTGCAATCCTAACTGCTCATTGAAGACTTGCACAGATTTGCATACCTGAATGTATGCAAGTTCCTTTGTTTTTACAGGCAGGAACTTGAGATTAACATTAAGAGGACGTCATATCTCAGATCATCACCATCAAATACTTCAGAAAACAAATGCCTGATGCACAGAAACCAGAAATGAAAGGATACAAAGCAAAACATAACTTTAAAAAATGTACTCTTACAATTGTTTACCTACCCCATAAACAAGCCTGAGGAGAGGGAGGTGTAATTGGCACATTGCTCCGGGGCCCATGGAGCTCAAAGGGGGTCCATGAAGGGGATTTTTTTAAAAAAAAAAATACACCCCCCCCCAAAAAAAAAAGAAAAAGAAAAACAATACTGAATATATACTTCATATTCTATACTTTGTGTGCATAGCAAAGCCGCCTTGCAGCCTTGTTTGACATAACCTTTATTAATCTGATACTCAGTGGACAGTTATTTATGTAATTTATTGAATTTTAATTTCATTACTTATTTATTTACGTTTGCAAGTTTAGTTTCATTTCATTTATGAATATATTTTATATTTCATTTCAGTTTATGAATAGTTATGAAATGTCATCTCAAAAATCTGGAGCTCAAAAAGGCAAGGAAAAACAGAAACTTATGTCTATTTGTAGGTGAGGGGGCCCATATTAGCGTTGTTCCAGCACTTAATAATCCTCTTAGCCGCCCTGCCCACACAACCCGCCCCACCAATTGCCTTCCTGACAAGCCTCTCTCTGGAGAAAGAAAGTAATCCCTAAAATATGCAAGAATTTGAGAATAGGTTTATTTTATTCAAGGCTGCATCGCCGGATGTTCTGTTAAGGAAACATGCATTTATTTATACTGTTTGGTGGGATCTATGCCCCTTCCCCCAATTTGGCATCACAAGTAGCTTATTTTAGCAATCAGCTATGCTTTCAAGGTTAATTATGGAAGCAAAATGCCAGGGTAATTAGATTTAACTTGAGTTAATGGGGTGGTGGGCAGATTAAGGAAATAAAGCTTCTCGGAGGGGGGGGTGATCTGAAAATGGATGCAGCTCTGTGAAAAGCATAATGACAAGGCACACTTTCTTTATAGACCTAAAATATATATATATTATGGTTCTATTTCACTAAAAGATCAGGTTTTGTATTGGGACAACACATTGTTCTTTCTCAATTCAGTGACAATTTATTAATCCCCATCCTTGGAGTCTTCATGAAATTCACTGATCTGGAAATAATGTACTTCAAATGTTATGGAGAAACATACCGTAAGACAATTTGGAGATATTTTTCCCCTCCTTTCAAAATATGTTGCTCTATCAGATGAGAAGGAATGGGAAGTGCAGCAATATAAGTGTATTGCTAGTAATACACTTATCACCACCATATAAATAGCTCTCCAAAAAGAGCTATTGTAAACCTACCTGAAGGAGTTCGGTTTACAATTTTTTGTTTAGTGACCTTTTGAAAGTGTAATGATGCTGAAAAAAATGACCATTTTTCACACGATCGTTGCAGCCTCCCCATGGTCACATGATCAAAAATCAGCGGCTTGGCAAGTAGTTCATATTTATAACAGTTGCAGTGTCTTGGAGTCATGTGGTCAAGTCATCAGGGAAGTCAGATTCAGTAGGACAGGGAGAGTAGGCATGCTGGTGCACTTATGCACCCCCCCCTTTACAGACCTCTTAGGAATGGGTGAGGTCCACGGTAGACAGTTTAAGGTTGCAGAAGCCTTGATGTTGATGCTATTTTAAGTGTTGATTGGGAGCTGGCCAGAATTCAATATAAGATGGGTGACTATGTAAATGTTTTAAATATATAAACAAACTTCCATTGACATAGAATGGCAAATAAGAAGAAAATGTACTCTCTTTCATTAGGTGGAACATCTGTTTTGAACCATATGTTTATTTTTTTTTCAGTTAGGTTCGAGTCAGTAATGATCTATAGCTGTAAAAATATGTTTTTTACAAGTTCAGTTTTCTACAAGAACACATTAGTATCAGTCTCTTTTCACCGAAAAGTTATTTTCAAGTCTAGTGAAATCATGTCTTTTTTAAAAAATAAAAAAAACACAATATACGGTTTGATGCTTTCCTTTCTTTTATTTAACTAGAATCTTCAGGAGAGAATTAAACATATATTGTTTTAGGGCAGCTTCTGATATTTCAAGCCAAGAAGATATACTTGGAACATGCGGCTTTGCCCTGATATATAAATGATGTAATCAACTGGATAAGCATGTGCCAGATTATACTTTTGATCACCGTGTATTGAACTTTCAATTCACCTACAATGAATGCTGCCCTTGCTCAAGTTAATGTTGAATGCCAATAATTGCCTAGTTGCCCAGATAGTAGGATCAAAGGTATATGTAAGTGCATCAATGCACTTTAATATAATTGGTCATGTATAAAAAGCCTACATAGCCTCATCACTCAGATATTTATTTCTTAGACTAAAGTTAAATCTAGCTCTGGCTGCTGTTGATTTTTGATGCCCCGGTTCACCATTGGAAAGGGGAAACTATTTAAATTTCCCACATCACCCCAGTGTTACAGTATTCCAAATTATTATAAAATAAATGGAAATGATAGTTTGTTGCTACTTAATAAACCTGATGTGGTGTCTCAGTGGCTAAGATGCTGAGCTTGTTGATCAGAAAGGTCGGCAGTTCAGTGGTTCAAATCACTAGCACTGTGTAATGGAGTGAGCTCCTGTTACTTGTCCCAGCTTCTGTCAGCCTAGCAGTTCAAAAGCATGTAAAGATGCAAATAGAAAAATAGGAACCACCTTTGGTGGGAAGGTAACAGCGTTTCCGTGCACCTTTGCTGTTTAGTCATGCCAGTCACATGAGCACGGAGACGTCTTCGGACAACGCTGGCTCTTCGGCTTTGAAACGGAGATGAGCACTGCCCCTAAAGTCAGGAACGACTAGCACGCATGTGCAAGGGGAACGTTTACCTTTAATAATCCTGAGCTCGGGGTCTCCATAAAATTAAAAAAGAATCTTTTCTTTCCCCTTGCTTCTTGAAAATTTCTTATTTCTGTGATTGTGAAACTATGTTTGGATGTGCGTGATGTCATCTACATCAGAAACAGACTTCAACTCTTTTGTTCATGGCATCCCCAGCGGACTCCATTGAACAGTTCTATTTTCTAATGAGATCTGGTGTGACTAAGTGTTTTTTTTTTAAAA